TTTTTTTGAGAGTCCGACAGTCCTGCTCCCCGTGTTCTATGTTCTGCTGAAGTGCCCTCACTGAGGGCAAACTCGCACGAGTACTCCAAAAAGTGTATCCAACTGCAATCACGGCCAAAGCTTGTTTTGCTTTTTGGGACGTACGGATTTGAGATGGGCCCAAAAATTTGAAAACCTTCTGACGCTCCGACCCTGCCCCGAGCCCGCCTTTTACTTCTTGGCGACAAGTTATTTTGCTGCAAGGCTGAGGCTGTGTACTGGTGGTTTAAGGTATAAGAGAAAAGAAAAGAAGAAGACATTAAGCACTTACAGTTCTTCTAGTTCGGTTAATGCTGTTATCTCTTCTGGGATGTACCCTTCAAATGAGTTCTTCTCAATATTCCTGGTGAGGCAAAGGAGAACAGGAAAGAGACAGTGCAGAGCACTCGGTCATGGAAGGTATTTAATTTCCCATACCAGAGATGGCAACAAAACCGGCACAAGTTGTCAATGTCAATAAGCTCTGTGCAAGCAATCCAACCACAAATCTGCAAATCCCACCCAAAGTTTTAGAAAACTACAGAAAATTACGGAAACTTCCAAAAAATTACAGAAACTTACAAAAAGTTACAGAACCCACCCCTCTTCTTTTACATGTGGTTATGATGGGTTAGCAGAAGCAGAAACAGAAACAACTAATTGGTTAGCAACTTAGCAAAGCAGCATAAATGGCTACTGCTATGATCCTGGTGATCTCATAATGCAAAACCGAAAAACAGACAATGACATTCAATTGCAACTCGAACGAAAGAAGAACGAAGCAAGAATGAGGCATGCCTGGCATGGGAATAAAAAGAATGGAAAACAGAAGAAGAAGATAAAGAGAAGATGGAACCAATGTCATCTCCCCCTCATCTCACCTCCAACATCTAACCCCCCATCATCTCCTCCAACGCCCTATTCACAATAACAAGCAACAAAAATGAATGAATGAGCCAGAATTCATGTCTGATTCCTCTCCCATACTGCCAGCCTTGTAAAGAGCCCTCTTTTACGCTACTACACCTTCCTTCGACCTCGGTATGGCAAACGGCTATGGCGGAACATTGAAGACCTCCTTGGGAGTTTACAAGACAACGAAAAAGCGGCAGCGGTTGGGCTCCCGACCAGCAAGCCCAGGCGGATGAAAGAAACAAAAAAAAAAAAAACACCATAAGCAAAAATAAAAATTAAAAATTCCACAAACGGAAATGCGGAACTGAAACGAAACGGAAAACCACAATTTTTTTGAACCGATGCACAGCCAATGTAGATCAATATCATATCACTGCAATCGGACTCGTTCTTATTCACACTTTTCATGCATGTAAACAGTAGCGCAGCAAACTGGCGACGTGCGCCCACTCAAAACTCGGAGATATGGCATCCAGATACGAGTTCACTTCCAACAGGCTATGGCGACTTAGCGCCCAAACAACTCACTGTTCACATACACTTGATCACCCTGGATATCCCACATGCGTCACTCTGAACACTCACACATACACACAAACACGTCACACTAAACTACAGCTATGCAGCTATGGCTGCCTCTACCCTATCACTATGCTACGCTCCTTCTCTCTCGCCCACTTCAGCTCCGGGCTCTCTGCAGACCTCCTCGCACAAGTCGCTGTGGCAGCGCTTCCGCATGGCTCACGCAGGAATGAATGAATGGCTGGGCGCTGCCTCTTGATTTATACTTCTGAAACTCGGTGGTCTGCCCCTTTCCATCGGCCCATGGTGCTCACAGTCCCTCGTGGTACTTGCTGGACCGGACTGGGACTGACTGGACCTTACTGCTGACTGACTGTGGACTCACTGCTAACCTACCGTAGTCGTACTGCAATCGCACTGCAGTTTAGTCCACCACTTGACTCACCACTTGCCCACTTGCCCACTTGCTGACTTTCTAGAAGGACTACAGCTAGGCTTCTGGAACGTCCTAAGACTCCTATTCTATAGATCTACAGATCGAACCCCTGCTTCCTTTGGGACCCTACGACAGACTACTAACTGTTACAAATACACAGGTCGCAGGTTCAACTCTCGGGGTCTACACGGATACTGTACACAGGTAGGGCAAGGTCTAGGGATCGAACCTTGGGATCTGCATCTGCTACTGCTAAGAGGTGAAAACCGTTTCACTCCCGCCGTCCTAAATTCGAGGTCCTCCGAGAATATTTCAGTCCAAGGCAGGACCTTTACCCTTCTTATCGTGCTCGTAGGCTCTGACTATGTCGGGAGCTGTCTCTAGAAGTTCTGTTCTTGTAAACCAGTGGTCGTCTTCTGGTTCCTGATAAGCAAACTGGACCTTATACTGTTTATGGGGACGACCTCTACCTCCTGTTCTGAACACATCCTCATCTACAATGTCGTCGATGTCATAACTTCCGTCCATATCCGGGGGAATCATCGATCTTCTTGAAGGGAACTGTTGACTTGTGACACACGGCAGTAGCTTTGAAGCATGAAACACAGGGTATGTGTGGAGGTGTGCTGGAATCTCTCTAGTGTAGGACGGTCCATCCTCTCCGCCCTTAACTTCTAGAACCGGCCACGGTCCTCTATATGCAGGCAGTAATTTCTGCGAGATGTTTTCCTCAGGTGCAAACTCTTTAGCCTTGACCCAGACTAAGTCGCCTACCTGAAACTGCGATGGGCGACGATGCTTATTGGCCTGTTCTATCATTCTGTGCTGGGCCTTCCTGAGGTTCTCTACAACTGTTGCTAGTTCTTTCTCGTGCTGTATCGCAAACTCCCTAGTACCGGGCGGTAGCCTGTGAATCTGATCCCGGTTCAGTCCTTCGAATGGTCTGCGCGGCCTAAAGGACTTGTGCAGCTCATTGGGAGTGCGACAGGTGGACAAATGCACGCTGTTGTTGAATGCGCTAGCTACTTTGGGCAACATCTCGTCCCAGTTGATCTGATCAGGTCTAATGTACATGCGCAGAACTTGCTGTAGGATCTTGTTCGTCTGTGCTGTCTGACCGTTTGTCTCTGGATGGCGGCCAGACGACATCAATAGCTTAGATCCGTAGACTCTCATGAGTTCTTGCCAGTTCTGGCTGGTGAAACGACTATCTCTATCGCTAACTATTGACAACGGGATTCCATTCTCACTAACCCAAAAGTCAAAGAACTTCTGTATCACTAAATCCGTACGTTCCTCTGCAGGCAAGGGAACAAAAACGGCATACTTGCTAAAACGGTCAACTATGACCATGACTTGGCTCTTGGCATGCCTACTCTTGACCTGAGTATCCATGAAGTCTATGGACACTGAGTCTCCAGGTTGATCAGGAATAGGCAGTGGTCTGAGAAGACCTAGGGGCGCGCGTGTAGTAGTTTTATTCCTCTGGCACACTTTACAACTGCGAACATACTCTATGCAGTCATTCTTCATCGCTGGCCAGGTGTACGCACGCATCAGATTGGCTAATGTCTTTTGCCAACCAAAGTGTCCCTCTGTGTCATGGCATTCCCCTAAAATCAAACTGCGGATCTCTTCGCTGTTGGGAACGCACAGGTGGTCAAACACATTAGTCTTCTCAAATAGTAATCCCTCAGTAGTGCAGTAATCTGGCTCAGTCTCTGGGGCCTCTCTAACTCTCTTTAGGAGGTCACTATAGATGGGGTCCTGCGCATACGCCTGCTTTACTTTCTCCTGCAGGTCTCTCCCTATATCCAGATAGTGTACTATGGCTCCAAAGTAGTCTAATCTCCTACTCAGAGCGTCCGCAACTATGTTGTACTTGCCCTTCACTGGATTGAGCTCAAAATCATACTGGTCTATCTCTGCGGCCCACCTAGTCAACTTAGGTGTCATCTTGGCCTGAGTCTTCAACCATCTAAGGGTCTCATGATCAGAATACACTTTGAAGTGCCTCCCAAGCAAGTAATGCTTCCAGTGGTCTAGAACCTGCCTGAGAGCGTAGAGTTTTCTCTCGTACGTCGAGGTAGCGACCTTCTCAGAGGGCATCCTCGCTGACATGAACTCTACGGGTCTATAGCCATTGTCGTCGTCTTGCTGTAACACGACACCTATTCCATACTGACTTGCGTCCATGGTGACGACAAATGGCAAGGACGGGTCTGCTACTTTGAGGACAGGATACTCTATTAACGCGCGCTTCAATTTCTTGAGCATAGACGTACAGTCTTTGTCCCATTGCCGGATTGCCTCTTTCTTAAGCAACTTGCGTAGGGGAGCGGCGATAGTAGAAAAATTCCTCACGAACTTTCTATAGTAGTTAGCTAGGCCTAGGAACGACCGCAACTTTGTCAATGTGTGTGGCGTCGGCCAATCTCTAATCGCCGCTATCTTGCTGTTCTCTGGCTTAATGCCATCTCCGTTCGATACGTGGCCCAAGTACAAGACTTGTGTCTTGGCCCACTCGCACTTTTTTGCGTTGATCTTGAAGTTAGCCTCTTGTAGCTTCTCCAAGACCTGCCTCAGATGACCCTGGTGCTCATGGAGGGTCTTACTGAAAACTAAGATATCACCTAAATAAACTACTACGAACTTGTATAACCATGGCCTAAACAGGTCATTCATACAACGTTGAAAGGTGGTTGGTGCGTTGGTTAGTCCAAAGGGCATCACTATGAACTCATAGTGCCCATACCTGGTCCGGAACGCAGTCTTGTACTGGTCATCATGATGATATCCGAACTTCAGATCTATCTTAGAGAAGTACTTGCAACCCTGCACCCGATCTAAAAGATCGTCTATCCTGGGCAGCGGCTCAACATTCTTCACAGTAATCGCATTCAAACCCCTATAGTCTATGCACATACGAAGCTCTCCTTCCTTCTTGGGGACAAACAGAACTGGGGCTCCAAAAGGAGACAAACTGGGCCTTATCCAACCTTTCTCGAGGAGCTCGTCTAACAGCCTGCGCAACTCCTCTAACTCTCTAGGGGACATCCTGTAGAGTGCTCCCTTAGGAGTTCTACTGCCACGCTCTATCTCTATCCTGTGCTGGATGGGTCGCGGCACTACCCCTGTCGGCGACTCAGTCAAGTCTTTGAACTCCTCCAGCAGCTTGGCTATGGTGGGATCTGTGGAACTGTCTTCCTTCTTGGCCTCAGTGACAGGTCTAACATAAACTACAAAGACCTGGTCCTCTAACTGCTCCTTTTTCACTAATCGCGCGAACGTGGGAGCACTGAGACAACAATCTGCCAAGGTGTTGTCTACACCTGACACATGAAACAGGCGGCCAGTCTTAGCCTCGCCTGATGGACTACGGAGCCTACACTCATACTCTCTCAAATGGAGTGTGGCCCCTGCTGCCTCTCCCCAGTCCATTCCTAACACTATGTCGAAAGGAAGGTCATCCTGTACGAGGAGAGTCAGGGAATGGAGAACTTTCTCCACCTTCCCATCCTTCTCTAGGCAAAAGTACGCCTGGACTCCCTCTACATAGTCCTCAACACGCATCGCGCGGTTGTCTGCGAGGACACTGACTATGGGGTCTGCTAACTTTTGGACTTTTAGTCCTAGCCTCAACTTCTTTAGCGCCCTACGGCTAATATAACTGCGGGTGGCCCCTGAGTCTATAAGGGCCCCTACTCTGCTTCTAAACACCTCTACGTCTACTAAGATCAGTTGTCCCTTACTCTCCTTCTTCATTTTGGCCCACGCTGGCATCCTCTCCTTCAGTTCCTCTGCCACGCCTGTGAGGGACGTGCCTAAAGAGACGCTAACACAAGTGGTCTCCGGACAGCTAGCTAGGCACGGGCCTGCAACCTCTGCCATAGGCTCATGTGGTTTGGGAGTTTCCTGTTCGCGCACACTCGCTTCCCCACATGGCCTTAAAGTAGGGGCGGTTGCGACCCCTACTAGCGGCTGCCTATTGACTGTTGGGCAGCCCAACGGGCCTGTCTATACTTAGGACAAAATTTAATAACGTGGGCTGGATCACCACAAAACACGCACTGACCCAGGTCCACGCGTTCCTGCCATATACGCTGGTCCAAGCCCAAATCTTCCCAGGGCCTGCCCTGTGGCAAGCCTGGGTGCCATCCTCCTTGAGGCGGCCTTCCACCTCTTCGCTGCGGGGACCGACAAGAACCTTGACGATTTGGCGGGGGACCTTGACCCCTACCTCCCACTTGGCGGTTCCCTTGTCCGCCAACCCCCTGTGCGCCTGGTCCTCGGCCTCCCATGGCCTGGCCTCTTTGGCCTTGGCCTCCTCCTCTACTTTGCGGCCTCCCTCCAGCCGCGACAACAGCATAGGACCTCCCCTGCCCCACGCTACTGTCCTCCTCCTCGAGGCCCCACTCAATCTGACTGTATGGGACCTCATTTGTACCACCTTCCTCTACAGTAAGGATCATGTGATCCTTGGCCCTCACCTGGCCTGAGATGGTACGACCTTTCCACCTTTTTCCCTTGTCCAGGTCCTTATGCCAGAAAGTGGAAACTGGCATGGACTTTGACTCATACAAGACCACTTCCCTACTCAATGCATCATAAGTGATGCCGGACTGTTGAGATTTGCCAAAGAAATGCCCTCTCAGGGGCTCTGGCATGGCACGATAAAATAATTGAACCAACTGGGGCTCAGTGACCCCATGGTCTGGGACGACTACCAAGTTGTCCATGGTGCCCTTGAGTGCCCTTGCACTCCTCCACTGTCGCGAGTGGATCGTTTGTAACTTATCAGAGGCCTTGACGCCTCTCGTTGGATCAGCGACCCGCTCCCTCAGGAGCTTAAAGAATTGAGGAAGGGGGGTGACTTTTGAGTATGCAACCAGGTTGTTTTCACAACCGGCTGTGCGCGCAAAGGACCTCGCAAAACTAGCCGCCTCATCATTAAGGGCCTGAAAGGCCACGAGGACTTGTTCCTCTGTCAGGATGTGCTGTAGATACACGTAACTATTGACACTGGCTTCCCAGTTGTCAAAGTTTTCCTCCTTCTTCCCTCCATATGCATCCGGGAATTTAAGCTTAACTGGGTCCTTGCGAGGCCTGGCCTTGCCCTCTACAGCAGCTATCGCTTTGGCGCCCTCGATAGCGCCCTCACAAAACTTCCCCACATTGTCTCTCAGTTGCTTGACTTCGCCCCCAATGTGAGTGACTATATCGCGCGCAAAATCTCTAAATCCTGACCGCATGGCACTCAAGGCTACTTCTTGGCTCCAACTGGCTTGGCGCTTCTCCATCCATGCTGTGCTCAGCACCTCCAGGTACCCCAATACCTTATCCCATTTGGCCTTATCATTTGCCTGGGCCTGGACTTCTTTCCTACAGTCTTGCACCTTCGCCACCTCTGCGGTCAGTTTGTTGACTTCCTCTCTCCTCCTCTTCTTTTCCCTCTTCATCCTCAATTTCCATGCTAACTTCTGCTCCTCATCCCTTTCTCGCCGTTCCATAGGGTCCTCCATTGCTGCTAGCTCACTGGCTAGCGCATCCCTCTCATCCTGAGTCACATAAGACTCCGCCTCCTCGTCTTCTCCCAACGATAAATTAGCGACCCACTCACTTATCCTCTTCTCCATCTTTGCGTCAGTATCCCTCTTTGTGCCACTACTCCCTTCTCCTCCTTCAATACGTTTTCCTTCTTTTTCTTCTTCTGCTGCTGCTTCTTCTTCACCAGCCTTTCTCCTCTCTTCCTCTTCCTGTTGAACCCTCTTCATCTCCTCCTCCAACCTCTTCATCTTAGCCGCCTGCTCCTCCGCGATAGCCTTTAACTTCACCTGCTTCTCGAGCTCTTTCCTCTCCTTGTTTTCTCTCACTAAGGCGGCCATTTTCTCTTGCTGCTCAAGGGTGCATGGGCTAGTACTCTTCCCACTACGCAAGTCCACCATGGTGATAAGTGTACAACCGGATCAATGGTTCCAAACCTCACGACGTAGACTCTGACCCCTGACTGACAGACCTACTGGCTCAATCTAAGACTCACAGAATCCTGACAGGGATCCTGTCAACTATGGTCTCTAGCCTAGACCTACACTATGGCTGTCACTACTAGACCTGTTGCTGGTCATGAGGCATTTAAGGAGATCCCCCAAACTCCTCAGGAATTATTTAACGTCGCAGACAGGACGACGCGATCAGCAGGTCTCTCAAGACTTAGACGGTCTGTTGTGCAGCCCACAACTCGGATTTCGGGCCTACCGTGCCACACCGAGCAGCCCGCCGGTCAGTACCGGTCCTTGGGAGGGTTCGTGTCCTCCGGGACAGTCGAGTCGTCAGACACAGCTTTTAGCCCTACTCATTCCGTGTGGGTTTGGTCAACAAGACCCTATCCTTCATCCACAGAGTACTATCACCTAGGACATAAGAGACTCGATGCACAAAGAATAGACAGACAGACTGGACTCAGCAAGTACCAAGGGGTGTGTGCACATCCATAGGGCGAGGGAAAGGCTGAAGGCTTGGCGAGATGTTACCAGCTCCAGCTTGGTCAACGCCTTGGTCAACGCCAGTCAACGCTGTGGTCAACTCCGGTCAACGCCGGTCAACACCTCCAGTCAACCCTCTCGGTCAACCCTCCGGTCAGCTATGGCTGCCGGCTTCTCTTTCCTCACCAACCTCTTTCTTCCCTTTCACCTTCCTCGCCTCCTTTC